CCCATAAGGAGAATCATGTGCTAACGGCTGTCTAAATGACTCGGGTAAAGTTTGTAGCATGCATGCTTGTTGTTTTTGTCTGCTTCCACTTGTCTTTGCACTAGGATGATGTCGGCGTAAACGCGCAGTCATATTCGTTGTGCTCCCAGATCTGAATGAGGGTGGGGGAGGTTCAATTTGCCATGTTGCAAGGAGAGCTTAACTTCTGTCTTGCTAGCTTGCCCTGCGCTCTTCCTTCTGACAATGCTGTCTGTGTCTAGCGCTCAGTGGATCTGCGCTCGACAGTGCAGCCGAGGCGGAGTAGTCAAACGCAGATTCACTGAGCGCTCAACATAGACAGCATCGTCAGAAGGAAAGTTGATAAAATAAATTACAAATTTTGTATTGTTCATACATATGCGTACAGAACCGAAAGCACTGTATCGAACGGTTCAATATCGATACGAGTATCGTTGCACCCTTAGTAAATACATATATATTTTTCTCTTCCTTCCACTAATCTTGACAATATGGCACACACACACACACACAGCATCCCATCATGCAGTGTTATATCCTTTGGTTATCTTCTAAAGGCGACACAAAATCGATGTTTCTGCTGCTTACAAGTGAACACACACCACACCTGTAATACGTTCCCACAATAAAGGAAACCAAGAGAGGAGGATATTGGGAGAGGGAGGAGGTGGAGGATGAATAGGGGAATCATCTGCAGTGTGGCTGTGAAGTGGATATTACTTTTTGTTTTCAGATTCCCTTCATCTCACTCACATTTATTTGACTTTTTTCCCTGCTCTGGATCATTCTAGTGTTTGATGTGTTTGTAAGGCTGGGGAGACAAAAATGAAGTCAAGCAGAAAGAGATGAGGGTGCAGATCCCGGGAATAACTGCTAAATGAAGAGAACGATGACCTGTGTGTAACTTTTGGTGTGTCGGTGTATATGTCTGCCTTTTAATGTCAATTTTTTTTATATAGCATAACTTTAGAACCACAGTCTGTTTAAGGCACTTCAGATTGAAGACCCTACAATATTATAATTATTATTCATTTAAATTTGATTTAGACAAGTCATATACAATACAGACAAAGATGACACAAGCAAGTAAGATTCCTTTTATTTGAAATGAAATGTGTGTGTGTGCGTAACTTGTGCTTTTGCACCAGCTTAAGTCTCAGATTTTATGATTAGAAGGGAGAGCTAAGACGGGTATTGAAATTAAACCAATAAAGAAAGAAAGAAAGAAAGAAAGAAAGAAAGAAAGAAAGAAAGAAAGAAAGAAAGAAAGAAAGAAAGAAAGAAAGAAAGAATAAATAGATTAAGTAGTTAAATGAATGGTTCCTATAATATTAGAAAGAAACTCCAACAGTCACATGACCCCTTAATAGAAAGCATGTAGTGACAATGGGAAGTAAGCACACTTTTTTTAACAAGAAGAAACCTCAGACAGGAAAGGGCTCAATCTACTCGGTTTTGTTTTTTTCCGATTACAATTGAGTATCATCTAATTTGCATGTGGTCGTTATAACAACATGGCCAAAAGTACGGTGACGTCATTTGTATGCAACACAAAGACAACACATCAACGTCGAGGTGACGGTATACCTGCTATAGTGAGTTTCATTTCTTGCGGTTCTGAGTTTTTGAAATCTGTTTTTACTCCATGTCTTTCTAACTGATGGTTTGCAATACTGTGCTCTCTTTGTTTTGTTATTTATTACATTTTGGTTCATAACTTGTATATTATTTCTAGTATTAGTTGTACAAGTTGTAATAATCATCTTCCCTGTGTTTCTGCCTCATCTCTTCTTTTTCCAAATTTAGGCCTGTTTGTGTTTCCTTGTCTCGTGTATCTTGTTAAGTTTTTGTATATGTGACAATA